GGCAAATTCATTTGTTACTCTGTCTAACTTAATATTTTCATTCCGGGACACACACCTCATCTGGAAAAGTATTTTACACCAAGTGATCATTAATTTTAGTTTCGCACTATTGATCTGTACTGCTAGTGAAGTATCGAACAACAGTTTATGTGAACTTCAGTTTTATGGTGCCATTTGGTAGTGTACAGAGATAATATTTAGATATGCGCCACGTCACATTGTAATACTTATTTTCGTACACGTTGCCCTGTTTTCTCGCAATAGAATAGCCTTTAATATGTAGCTTTGTTGCTGCTATACGTTGCCAATATATAGTTGTTCAACTATCCATGAATTTTATGGAGCCGTCTTCACTATTAGTCAGTTAGAAACAGAACCAGGTACAAAATGTACAAACAGGTCTTCTTTTCAGAAAGCTCCAAGTTAGTTGCAGCGAGATAACAGATAAAAGATTTTGGCAACGGAATTTGAAGAGTAAATGCAAAAATCTGTCAGAATAAAGAAGCGTGCAGTAAAAATATCACTAGTGGAAATTTTGATCACCTATGTGCATATGCGATCGTTAACAGTTCAAGATTGGGACAAGTAAAATTTATCCTTCGAAAATCAAAATTGTCTACAACTGAGAAGAAAGTTTGTCCAAAAAACACTTGGGTCAGTATTTGGTGATGTGTGCTCCCGTTTGCGGTCAAAACTCCAGTCACCGTGTGGAAACCTATACGTAGTTTTTATACTAACTATTTTCAGTCAATTGCTTAGTTATGATAGTGTCTCAACTAATTCGTTCTCATAACTAAGCGCAGTTCAGTTTTCACAACAATTATCCATGAAATTTCACTCACTGATTTTTGTGACGTGGTATCGAACCGGATTGAATATGCTCTGATCAATCTGATATCCAATTAAATGCCTTTGTTCTTCACAAATCCGATAATTCTTTGGAACCCCCAATCATTATTTCAGTGCCCATAAGCAGAACACACCACCATATATATGTATACATATATGTCACCGGTTTAAAATAACAATAAGAACAGACCATGGGGTTTTAGACACAGCAGGGTAAAAAGGGATCAGACAATTAGGTTGAATGACGTGAAAACAATTTTCATCATATATCCAAGAGTCACCATAGAGAGAGCAACCTAAAGGAAACCTCCTATGTGCAAGAATGCATTGGAAGACTGCGTCGCTCAGTCTTCCAGATATATCAGCTTCAACAATTCCGAGTGAAGCATTCCAATGCATGTTCTTTTGCTTATTAGTGAATTCTTCCTGGCCTTCCTAAAAAGGGCTTTATCACTCTTCGCCGCAACTTCGTAGTTATTATCTGTTCTTGTTTTATTCCCATAGACATTCTCATCATAAAACTGTGTGATTTCATTATTACTTCTGTGATAACTTTGCTCATATGATTTGTAATTATCCCAGTCATCCACTTAACCTTGACTTATCTGCATGCTGCTCCCACGCAAAAACCTGATCCAGTTTTTGCCGTTTATCGTCCCGTATAAATATTACCCGTAATTGAACAGTACCCTATTCGGCTAGCACTGTGTCTAACAAGGTTTTAAATGAGCTAATTTTAAATCCGCAAAAGGGATCTTTTATTTGAGTTATATCATTCTGGTCTGGTTTTTATTCACAATGCAACAATCAACAAGGTTTATGACTGAATTGTAAGCCTAGCTGCTTGCCCAAGTTATTATAACGCAATACAGTACAATAGACCTTATGTTCTCTTTTCGTTAAATATAGGACACTGCTGCCTTTAATAAAGCCCGTTACTTAATTGAGTCTAAAATAATTTGGTAGGCTTTAAAATACTATAAGGGTAGCTTTACGAGAATGTCTTTCTAAGAAGCCTGAAATGAAAGTAGCACTCCAGTGCTATTGACTATCAACAGTTTATAACAAGTCTCTGTTTATTTCTGAGATCTCAGTTGCAATATAATAAAGGCGTTGGATTTTAATTTCTTTTCAAACATCTTAAGAGGTTAATAAACAATTCAATTCAATTTAGTTTTTACAACCTGCAACCATGCACTTCCATGAGCATGTTTTGGTTGCTGTCTTAGAAAATCCCTTTTAGATGAAGGGGTAAAAGGAAGATTGTAATCTTCAGACAAATGTCAGAATGAAAATAGAGAAATCATAAATGCTACGGTTGTAGGGATAATGAACAAATACACAGGCGCTACTGGTTAAGACAGTCGTATCACTCCGTGTCCCTAGCCATTGTTTACAATGATCCCTATGTCCCCATTTAGAAAACCCAAAGTGGCCTATATGATCACGTCTCCTGGTCAGGGTTTTCAAACCCTCATTTCAAGTCTGAGTTTGACTATCCTTTACTTTTTCCCATTGAACCCTTGTCTCGAAAAATAACATGCTTCATAGCAATCTATTTGGTGGCATGTACAATGCATGCCCCAACTAATGCAGTCTATGGTGGTCGACCACTTGCTATAGTGGGCAATCGCGAGTGACTAAAACTCTCCCCATTACCCTAGCATTACTTATCCAGTTTATCCACCAGGCATGTGCCATGCAACTTAGACAACGATGTTCACAAAGCGACACTATCTCCATTCTTTTCCTGTAATGGTTAAGTCTCTACGCAGTGCAACAGAACTGGTCAAAATGCAATAGAATTTACTTGATCTTTGACATACAGCCGGATATTGCGACGGAGCCACATATGCTAATAGCAGCATTATATATTATATTTCACTCTGATTGGCTTGTGGGCTGAATACTGCCCGGTTGCCCCGGCCAATGCAGGTGAATGTTCTTCAGGAATCCACAACCGGAGCTTTTGGATAGCCAAAGCCTGACCCGCAAGGCAGCGGGGCGGTGTTTGGAAACTGCAGTCCAATGGGAGTCAGTGTCCAGTTCATCGGATCATTTGCCCTTTGGATGGGGTCAAACGTCTAAGATGCCCAATATATCTCGGTGCCCAATTGAACCGGTAACCACTATCACAACTGAAAAGATGTGGATCTGGTTCGTGAGCCTCCTCATGGTTGGTTTGGAATCAGGAATTTGGCCAATTTCCCTAGATGAACTAACAGTGGTCCAGCAACCCGGTTATAGCCCTGAATATAGGATATTCATCCTCTCACTTCGTTGCAAAAGCACCTCCGCCACGAGAAGGCAGTGAGTGGGGCTTCCTCAGAAGAGGCTATTTTAGACGCTTGGTTGTATGGGAGCATTTCGCGAGGTGAAAGAGAAGAGTGACCGCCGCGACCCTAGACCCCCACCCCTGACCATGCTGAGGCTTTTAGAGACTGCTTTATTCAGGCCAAAACTTTATCCATGGTGCAGCCGCAGTGTAAAATGTAGCTACCAGATAGCATAACTTGTTCACAACCTCTAATACTTCTCAACATAGAGTGAGTTTGGAAGCTGTACCCACCCAGTCCCGTTGCAACATTTTACATTTCGGATACAAAACGCATGTAGCTCAAAACCACACCACAACTCAATCTATCCAAAAACACTTGCGGCTTACCTGGAGGATAACACAATATAGAACTGTTTCTGATAGTTAAAATTTATTTGTTTAGGATCTGTCCGGAAATAGGGCTCTTGGCTCCGACGATACTATCTTGCTTAGAAAAATGCATGCGAAAACAAGTTTTGGGCCACTTTTTGGTTAATATGATTCGAAATGGCTGTGCTTGCATTTAGAATGTGTAATATGGTAATTCAAAACTGTAAATACGATGTACCTAACCTCATACTGGATGAAGAAAGTTTGTGTCCATTCCATGTTTGTTATAATCTTTGGAGTTACATCACTCTCAGCACTTTCTGTTTAACAGTCTTCTGTGACCCAGTAGGAGCGTACGCCTTTTGTTCACACTCAGCCCTAGAATTATTGCTTTCCCCAAGGATTCGCGTCCTATATACCGTCTAATACATACCTCGTCATTTAATCTTCATTCAGCGCATGATTTACTTGATCTACCTGGGTAATATTTTGCTCGCTAGCGTCAGTTAGGAACGTGAAGTTGTTTGCTTTTTTGTTGAAGATAGGTTTCCTAAGTAAATTCTCTAGTTTCAAGTATTTTTTGCACAAAAAAGATATCAATCTGAGTCGTGCAGGTCATGCAATATGTAACAGTAAGTTCAGCGCTGTGGTATAAATCTAACATTCCATCAGTTAGTTCTGAAGGTATTTTCGTTTAAAAGCAGTTTTCTACCGTTCTCTTTGCTTAAGTAGTCGCATGCAATAAATAATAATCAAGCACACCATTGAGTGGGAAGCTTGGGAAATTATTTCTCCAGAACTAACTCCCCCAAGAGGACCGGGCTATGTTGTGAGAAGGCCTATTTAGTGGATGCCACTACAAAAAGGGTTTCGTACCCTAGGCGTCTTTAGAGTAGAATGCAAATACTTTGTTATGGTATTACAAATTGGGATGAAGACGCAAAAAATAGTCCGTAGAGTATGGTTCACCTCAACTTCCAGGTGGTGGTAACCATAATTCACAACAACATGTACTATGAACCCTGACGGACATTGATTACAAAGGACTGTTATGAATGAAGTCTTTAGGATTGTCTGTCTTCTCCGCGCAAACTGACTCAAATGTGCTTAGAAGCCGTAACTCACAAAATAAAAATATGTAAATACTTGATCCCTATAAGTGGACAATTCCTTCTTTCCTTCTATCTCATATGTTTGTTAGTCTGCAACTCTTAGATATTCGCACAATATGGTACTATGGCCTTCTGCTCTCATATCAGTATGAAGTATTTATAAATTAATGCAATTAAAAATCCGAAAATGTGGCGATACGTATTTTTCACATTTGATGAAGCATGAGTAAGTTTTGATGAGGTCTAAGCTAAAATGCATTTACAGGTTCATTTTGCAAAAGTCTTGTTTTTACAGTCCACATGTGATTGTTTGTGAATAATCACATAAAAAATGATAAACTTAATGCATTGGATTTCCAAAAATAATAATAAATCGAGAAAATGTACACGTCTCACAATACTATATGACTTTCACTTCGGGAGTTCACCTGTTGGGCAACATACATATAGATCGAACCATTTGCAGACATTTGGCTTCCAGTTTCTGGATGATTTGAAATATAGGTAATATTTTCAACCCAAGCGTTCTGAGGTGTAACGGTGTCATCAGATGCATCTTCATCTCTAGGTGAACGTCTTTTTGAATTTTCCATCAGTTCTGCCTCGTCGTTGTAATAGCCTATTGAAATTCGTTCATCCAGATCGTCTTCATCGTACGTATTTGAGAGGCCCCTTATGTGATCCCAGTCACTGTCGAGGTCTTTACTAATTATTCCGGAGTACTTCTGTGGTGCTGTTGGTTTGTTATATTTGTATCCGTTCATGTAGCCATTTTGAGAAGACTGAGGCGTATTGCGTTGCTCCATATGCTTGGTAGAATTATCGTTTCCCCAATTTAGTTCAGACCGATATGTCTTTTGTGAAGATGTGGTTATTGGAGATTCCACAGGTCTTTCTTGAGTAATTTCGATAACTGACGATTTCTTTATCGGTCTTGTTTCCGGTGCAGTAGGCTTGACTGTCACAGTTTTCACACGCTCACGTTTAGAGTTGCTGCTTTTACTTGGGGTACGGGCATCTCCAAGAAGTGAACTGATTTCCTGTGTTTTTTGTGGCGAACTCATTTCTATTCCATACAAGAACACTTTGCTAGATCGTGATTCCTGAGCAACCAGCACCAATCGATTTTTGTAAGTAGGAGCAAGATAAAATCCAACAATTTCCTTGTATGGAATTTTGCTCCGGTGGAACTGACTACCGATATATATCGGTGGTGAGAAAACAAGTGTATCGTAGAGGCACATTAGCGTATTCGAAGACACGTGTCGATTATTTTCCGCCTGAAGCATGAGGGAAGCCGCGTTCTCTCGGACTTCTTGATCAACATTATTACACATTTTCAATCCTGCGATATGCACCTTATCTTCAAAGTAAGGTGTATCACGGTTTCGACCAGACATCCTGACAGAAACTTTCAACGACGCGGGTTTGCGAGTGGATTTCGAGGCGAATTTTTCGGTACATTTAAACAAAACCGTTCACATCAGTAAATTTCAGTTCGGGCTGCACAGAACTTAATACGACGATAACCAATTGAGCGTTCAGAATTCCTTCCATAGTAGTAGTTACCAGGTTGTCTCCTATCTCCACTCTTGGGGATGGCTACCACTGTGGCGGTCACCCAATCACCAGAAACTCTCCCAGCCCTTAGGGACTCCTGGTAAAGTGTGCTTATCGCAGGGGCGAGCACCGAAGCTGGTGGTCTGATAACGGCCTGGTCTTTGCCATCAGCCTTGTTGACATTCAAGCTCTCCAGGACCTTGAGAACACTACTAGCCGAGACTTCCAAATCGCCCATTCGAAGGGTCTCTAAACACTCTCGTGAGATCGCAAACCCTTCGTCTATTTTATAGACGTTTTCAAAATTCCTCCTGAGCGGCTCACATTTTTCGTACTCTGGAACAGACAGTCCACCTCCGGGATTCTCCAAAGTGCCTACCGATTGCCTTAGTGCACGCAGCTAGTACCTCTTGGGTTCCTGGAGCGCTCTATTGATGATTTTAACCTCAAGGGTCCTTTTCGCCTGTTTCGCTAGGTTGTTTGCGTACTTTCTCGCATTCTCATATTGCAGCCATCGATCATGCCCTCGTGTGAGAACGAATGCCTTTCACCTACGTACCCTTTTCCCTATGGCGCGTTTAATGGCCGGCTTCCAACATTGCGGTTTGTGGGCATCACCCCGAGG